GCAAAACACAATAGTAAATTTATCAAATAAAGTAAATGCGAATTGAAAGCTATGTTAAGATAAAATAAGAGTATTTTGTATTGCCATTTGATAATTAAATATAGTTATACATATACAACAGATTTTAGAACACAAAAATCAACGACGTACAATTTAGTTATTGATGAAATTTTTGAGTTTAATTTAAGCATTCTTTTTTTTCTCTGCGAAGTAAGAAGGGGGTGTAACGACCCAAAGCCCGCTAAGGGGTAAAAACCCGATTTTTAAAGTTTCGTTTTGATATATTATAATTTTCTACGTTCGGGGTAAGCCGCGCCCGCGTTGTCAGCGACATCGTAGGGGCAAGGGTCCTACGTCATCGTAGAGGGGATAGTTAGTTACCTACCCCGCCGCCAGGGGCGATGGCGAAGAAGGACCAGAAGAGCAGACCTCATGGTCAGTTGTCCACCCGCTACCGAACCGTCGACACGCTTTCTGTTTGGAGATAAATCCAACAGTCCTAACGTACTAAATTCTGGTCAATTAAAGATTTCCCCCGTTCCTGGTAGAATTCTAAGGCATCAGGTAAGTGTGCTACCAAATTTATTTTGTTTAATCTCATTTTAGAGAAGTTTTATTATTTTTATTTTATTGTGCCGCAGTCGCGCGCACCCCGCACGCTTTTTCACGTACGAGCACACTACCTTTTGTCTTTAACCAGCTACGGAAATCATTTAAGTTGCCAGAACGATATCCGTAGTACTTATTCCATTACCCCGAACCGTCCAACGTAAATTTGATTCAAGAAACCCCGTATCGGCTCTGGTGATCGACCGAGTCTAATTTTCCCGACACGTCTACTTTGGTGGTTACCAAGTACAACGACCGAATCACGTTTTAGTTAAGTTTCCAATTAATTAGGCTTATTCGCATTCACGATAGGTTATTCAAAATTCTAAATTTAACTTCACATATTTTTCGAGTGGCTATGATGAGCACTTGTTAAAGGTAAGCTAAACATTGTTAGCAGTATTGTAATTAATATTCTGAGCCAATAAACTCGAAACGATAATTAAATAACGAACACATTAGAGCCCTGGACTATCTCATTGTAGGCTATTAAGCTATCTGGACAAATTTAAGGCGTGACAGAATTTCAGGTAAGACGACAATTACGTACTTTAAAATCTAATTTTGTCTCTCAACCCGAAATTTCGTCATAGGTTTAGCAAAACACAATAACTAAATTTACCTAAATATACATATAAAAAAAAACAATGTGATGTGCAAGTTATGTTAAGTTAATCTAACTTATGTTAAGCAGTTCGAATTTATTTAAAGTAGCCTCCAAATTCATACAAAACATCTATACCATAGATAAATCATACTCCCTTGCTTAGTCTATGTCTATACATTTTAATGTTCTTACTGTTTCCATGACAATATATCAATAACATTATTTTCATGACAATTTAAAAATCGAAAGCAGAGCCTGTGTTGGTACAGCAATGCTTTTAGAATATATTTGTTATTTCTATAATCATTGACATAGTTTTTGAATAAATCATCTTTGATAAATCTTTAGATTAAATAAATCAACCTCATAATTGTGTGAAATATTATATTTAACTTCATTGGATCAGCTGTCTTAAATTGTAAAATAATGCAGTTTGGCAGTTCTTGTTTACATTGAAATGTCAAAGCAAATGTAAATGTAAACATTGTGAGTATTCTTATTGCAGCCATGGAGACCAATCAATATTTACTTTTAAAATCCTCAACTCAGAACTTTTAAAGCCAAAGGGGCGAAGCCCAAGGTCGGTATTGAAATTGGAATAGTCCTATAGTGGTCCTTGGTATGGTAGCTATATTTTTGTAAAATTTAAACCCAGTTGGTTCAGTAGTTTTTGCACCTATTAGTAATACACATACAGACAGACGCCATTAGATTTTTATATAATAGTATGGATATAGATTTTTTCAGGTATACCGAATGATTTGAACTACTTACTATATAAAATTACTTAGAGCAGTTATATTCCCCGATACTTTCCATTGAAAAATGCAGTGTACTGATGGTACACTGGTACAGTAGCTCGTCATTTTTAACAGTTTAATACTACTTATCAAATCAAAACATATGAAACCTAGGAACTTGAAACGTAGTACTAGTACTAAGGTTTGTTTTATGTTTTGATACAAACAAAAACCTTTCTTACAGATGACACAAGTGAAAGCAAGGTCCATGAATCTGAGTCTCAGTTGTTCGAAAAATATCACAAAGCATTTGAGGCATTGGAGAAGCGTTCTTCTGAAACGCCAGGGTTTCCCTGTGTCTCATGCGATAAGTTGTTCAGTAAGCAGCAAGTAAGCCTGTTAAAAAACCTAAAAAATCAAATTGTAGGACACATATGGTAAAGAATAAAAGACATAAAGAAAGAAGAGTGCAAAACAGGATGGATTTGTCGAGGCTGCCTCGAAAAACTAAGGAAAGGTCAGATGCCTCCTACTTGCATTCTTAACGATCTCTATGTTTGTGCGCAGCCACAAGAGCTAACTTGCCTTAAAAGTTATGAAAAAGTTTTAATTCAGAGAGCCAAAGCATTTCAGGTTGTTACAAAAATGAACACAGTTGGGAAAAGAACAAGTCGAGCTCAGCAACAAATTTTTAAAGTCGTGGGAAGAAGTTTCATTTGCCACTACCCCTTCAAGAAACCCTGCAAAAATTGCCCAAATCAAGTGACCCTCTGAATCCAAACCACGAGCTGTACGTTTTGGTCAGAGGGGTACCAACCAAAGCAAAGAATGTTTGGCAAATGTTGGTTAGTGTGGATAAGGTACATGCAGCCTTAATTTTCTTAAAGAAAAACAACGCTCATTATGGTAGCATCGTACTACCTACAGATCCAGAAGGACTCTTCAATCTTAATGATGACACAAATTTGTTTCAATCTACCCATCAAAACGAACTGCCACCTCAGGAAATACTACATAGACGTGCTATATTAACTCAGGTAACTCACGAGGAATGGGATTCAGAAGAGTCTCACTATACAATCCACACTCTTCATGAGTCAAAATCTTATAGTGATGACACCGAGCTCTATAAGAAGCTGAATGAACCTCCGATTAGTCATGAAAACAAAGAGATTGACGTGCTTTGTTTCCCTGATTTGTATCCCGAAGGTAAATTTGGCCAGTTTCATTCCAGAGAAACCAAACTCACTTCTGCTGAATTTATCAAATGTTGGTTGCTTTCAAACCAACCATTGGTTTGTTCAGACAACCAAAAGAAAGTGTTTGATTATGTCAAACGAGTTGTTGCAAACTCTGATGGGGCAGATAAATTTCTGAGACATTTTGTAAGTGGTGTGGGAGGTACTGGTAAGAGTTTTCTCATCAAAACTATCAGCTCTTGGACTAAAAAATGTCTTCAAGCCTCCACATCAATATCAGCTCCCACAGGACTAAGTGCTTACAACATCAATGGTTCTACGATCTACAAAGTGTTTCAGCTGCCAGTTGAGCATGGAAAAACTCCAAAGTACAAAGCACTTACTGATGATGTTTTAAAAATGTTGAGATCCAACCTGAAAGATGTGGTGCTCTTCATAATAGACGAAGTGTCCATGGTCTCCAATCCAACATTGATGTACATAAATCTCAGATTGTGTGAAATATTCAACACCTCAGACCAAAGTAACGGCTGGTTTGGTAAAAAACATATACTGCTCTTTGGAGACCTTTTACAACTTCCACCAGTACACGAAGACTCCCCATTCATTGAACTTGACAGTGGCAAACTTAGTTCCTTTGTTGGCTCTCTGTCTTGTGTTAACATCTGGTCTGAACAGTTCTCTTATGATGAACTTACTACAAACATGACAAGCTCAAGATTCTAAGTTTGCTGATGTGTTAAGCAAAGTAAGAGTAGGCAATATGACCGTTGAGGACATCCGTCTAATTGAAAGCAAGAAAATACATCTTAATGGAAAAACTGCTTCGGAAAACTTTTCTCTACTAGGAGATTACTTGTCTGCTTTACCCAACAATTCTGTAAAAAAAAAAAATAAATAAAAAAGTAAAATAACTGCCCGTTAGTTTACGTAGGCCCCGGTGTGTGTGTGTGTCCGTTAGCGCAGTAATTATCCGTGTTCAAGCAAAAATTATCCGATTTTGATGAAATTTGGTACAAACGTGTAAACCTACGTTTATTTAAACGAGTTCGCGATCCAGCATAATCGGACCATGGGAACGGGGGTTTATGGGGGGTTTTATGGGGTAAAAATGAGGTTTCCCACTTTTGACCCTAAAAACAAAAAATTTTGCAATTTCTTTTTAAACCGTTTTGTAGAGCTTAAAAAAAGAAATAATTTAGTATATTGAAGCATTGTTGTATGCCTAACTGTCACGGAGAAAATTCAAAAATAGTGTAATTTAACATTCCCATGTTATTCTTATGGAGAAAATGAAAATTGTTGTAGTTTACTTGTTTATGGATATATATTAATACAATTTGGCAAATTTACTTATTTCATTCTGTACTATTGACGTATGGTCAAAAAAAACTTTTTACTTTCCCCGTAGCAGCAAACCTAAGCACTCGTTAAATCTAATGATATTTAAATAGGGAATAAATATGTCTTATTTATGGAAATATTTTAGTAAAAATGTAATCAGACAAGTTGAAATTCGCTTAGTCTGCAGGTTTGCTGCGGCAGGGGTATTTGTAATTCTCACGTAGGAATACTTTGTGTTACATACACATTTATTTTTTCTTTCTTTTTACACCATTTTCTCCTTGCATTCAGTATTAACCGTATCTTCAAGGTCTATTTCCTTGACAATTGCAATTATTAAATTCAACTAAAGTGTAAACTCAACTTTACATAGGAAGAATACTACTCGAATTTTTCAGAATACTGTATGTAATATAACCTTTGTCATTGGAGAGGTTTAATTGTTGCTTTTCAATTTCATGTTACGAGTACAAAGGTAATTATTACCATATGTGTGGTAATCACATTGTGTGTAGAGGTGGCCTTATAGTTATGAGTAAGGAGTTTTTCATTTTTATTTAAAAACCTCAGGGGAATCTACTGACAACATGATGTTGCCAACTGCCCTCATTGTAGTTTTGGCTGCTGCCTTTATACAGGTTAGTTTATTTATACACACAATGTTAAATTATAAGATGTGTACAGGTTTTTAAAAACAAAACACCAGACCTATCGAACATACTACAAACTTGAAACTGTAGTTTATTAATCATATCTCAGAGTTGAGATCATATGTAAATGGTATAATCAAACTGACACATCCTTTCTCTCATTAGCTTTTAGGTTACAAATCTGATACATTTCTGGCTCCTTCTGGTGTCCCACATGGCAGGAATATAGGGTCGTTATGTTTTAATATATTTATCAATGATTTGGCTTATATATTAAAAAGTAATTTTCTTATGTACGCAGATGATTTGAAGATTTTATCTGCAATTAAGTTTCCTTCTGATTGTACACTTATACAAAACGATCTCGATTTGCTATCTCAATGGTGTTGTCTGAATAAATTAAACTTAAATGTATCTAAATGTTCCACTATGTCCTTTTATAGATCACTAATTAAATCCCGCAGTTTTTCCTTATAACATCAATGGTACAATTTTAGAAAGAGTAAAACGTTTTAGAGACTTAAGAGTTATCATGGCATCAGACTTGCAGTTTAATGAACATATAGCGAACATGGTCAACAAGTCTTTTAGTACGTTGGTATTCATAACTAGAACCTGCAAGCAGCTACCGTACTTCACGATCCACTTACTTTCTTAACTCTTTATAAGTCACTAGTTAGATCAATGGTCGAGTTTAAAGTATAGTGGTCACCTCACACACACCGTTCTATGTATAAATGATTGAAAGAGTTCAGAAGCGATTCTTGAGGACTTTGTATTTTAAGGCATTTGGAGTTTGTGTTAATCCTATTTGGTCAATAAGACAAGAGCTTCTACATTTGTTTGGATTCCATCGCTTAGAGGTCAGGAGGAAGGTGGCAAGCCTATGTTTTCTGAAGGGTGTAATGACTGGGTCCGTGGACGATGCTGAGCTTTTGTCCGGCGTGTCGTGTCATGTGCTGAGATGGGGAAACGGACAGAGGAGCGCAAGTCGTAAAACTGTCAACCCCTCGGCCGAAGAATTCGTCGGGGGTAGGACCAAGGAGCGCAGATGTGCTTGCGCTCCTCGGTCCGACCCGGGCAAGAAACTAATCCCCTACTTACGAGGGTTGAACAAGACAATGCTTGCGAGTAAATCCCATTAGTCCCGCCTCACTGACTACACCATTGATTTGGGCGTACTTTTCTAGAGCAACTTATTACCAAACTAATGTGGTATCAACAAATTACCAAGCCGTACACTTTCACTTTCGAATTTAAATTGCAATATAAAAGCTGATCCTTCAGCTGAATGTTGAACCACATTTAGATTTTATTTATAAAACTGTTAATAAAAATGTATGTAAAATAGGCTACGTTTTGATAATTGCGATTTAGATAAGGTAGGCGACTTGTGTCTTCATGGTGTGGATCTAAAATCTGTATATTAGTAAGTTTATTCACTTTTAATAGCTGCTTTAAACAACCGTAATCTTTGAAAAGAAAAGGGTATTGTATCGTTAGTTTTACCTTCAAAAATGTGTTGAACCCTATTAAAATTAGCAAATTTGCAATGGGTCCCCTCGTTATTAAATACTAGCAGAACACCCGTCCTTCGTATGGGATTGGCATATATGTATAAAATGCTTATTGCAGTTATACTCAAGCTTTGCGTTTGCAATGGGGGGAGGACACAGTTTGATAAAATTTGGTTCATCAATTTACGGTAAGATATAATATAACACATCTACCATTGCCATAATGTTCTACCACTGCACCTAAACAATAGAAAAAAATATTATCAAACATTCGCACAATATCACAAATTATTCATTAAATTAAAAACTCAAACCTAACTGTAAACAATCCTACTTTGACAATTCTCATTGTGTATCACAGCTTTTTGTAGCTGCTTAGTTCAAATTAGCTGTTGTCATATATGCAAAAACAAAACAATAATAGTGCTGCACCCTGTTGGGAAACCCTATAATTTTTTAATGCTATCTATATCTATAAAAGAGGAACTATGTATGTGTGTGTGTATGTATATACGTTATGGACTCCGAAACCGCTCGACAGATTGTAATGAAACTTTCAGGCATTATTAAGCATCTTTCAAGGATGGTTCGAGTGAAGTTTGGTGTAGATCTATCAAAAGGGCTCTGCCCCAGAGGGTTTTAAGTGGGCCAATGTCAGACTTTTTGATCTACAATGTTTACAAATAAATATAATTTAAAAGCAGATGTTTACTTTTACCAACTTACTGTTTTGTAGGTTTGAATAATTACAACATTCTGTATTAGCATTAGTCATGATTTGAAATAGTGCCACAGTGTTTCTACAGAGTGCAGCACAGAAAACTATTTTACTTTTGAATAAGTCCAAATGTATTAAACCCCAATCGCAGCACACCTGTGCACTTAACAACGTTTAAATTCTCCAATGTTAAATATTAAAACATAAATACCTTTATTTAAGTATTATAAACAATAAAAGGGATGACTTTTAAAAATGTATGACAACAGCTAATTTGCAATCAAAATGTGAGTGAGCGTAGCGAACGAACATCAACCTGGAGGCGAGTTAGCGTAGCGAACGAGCTAACCTGAAAACAAGTGAGCGCAGCGAACGAGCTCCAACCTAAAGGTGAGTGAGCGTAGCGAACGAACTTCAACCGGGACGCGATTGAGCCATGCGAATACTTATGAAGTTAAACGGGCAAAGCCCGTGGGTACAGCTAGTTGCATATAATAGAACTAACTTGTAAAGTTGAAACAGCTGACTAAATTCTTCCCTTTAAATATGAATACTCATAAGGTTACATGGGGAACTACAGAGCCACTGGGGAGGAGCCCGAAAGGATTTTTGAGATAAGAATATGCCTAAATGTTAATCGGGAATGTGAGCTATCATCATGCCAAATTTCAGTCCAATCCGTCCAGTAGTTTATGCGTGATTGAGCAACACACACAAAAACGCACAAACTCAAAAACTTTCAGATTTATAATATTAGTAAGATACAATTTGTTTATGCAGGAATGGTTTGTAAAATCCTGTTAATATAAATCTATGAATACAATTAATTGCTTTCAACATTTACTCACCATTGATAAAAAAAACCTGAATTTTACATCTTAGTTTTAGGCCTATAGGTAATTTTAACGGACAGAAACCATATATTCTTTATGATATATAGAACGCACCTATCCATTGAAGTATTTTATTTTTCCATTGATTAATAAATATATAAGGTAATCAAAATTATACATAAAAATACGGCATTCAAGACTATTTTGATACATGCTTCTTTTAACTTCTCGAATATAACATAAATGGAACTGCCTATATCATATTATACAGTATACAAAATACAAGATTATTTACAACAAACACTTATTGGACGATAAGTAAACAAGGTAAATATAAACAATAAAAAGTTACAGTGAACAGAAATATGACACAAAAAAATTATTACATTACAATAAATAGCTTATTCCCTATATGGGAAATTCGCTAAAAAATATTGCATTGAAATATAAACAAAGCTACTTTGGAATTGTGAAAAAGTTTAAAAAACAAATATAAAGAGGACATGTTTTTTTAACAATATTAATTAGACTCTAGTTATTTGAACTTAAATATTGATCCTACAAAACTGACCCGAGTGACCAGAAACACCAAAAACAGGAATGGGCTGTCGTGAAAGGGAAATCTAAGAAATTGCAAATGAAATCCATTCGGAGTAATGTAGCTGATTAACGGGACATCCATGTAAGATCTTCACTCATAATTCCTTTACATTTCCAAGTATTGACTGTTTATAGTTTGTACCAAACAATAGGTCGAATAGTTTGTACCAGATGCCTACGACTACAATTTTCAACAGGTAGTACGTTCACCATTCCCAGTAATAAAATCATTGTTTGTTCATTAATTAACAATGAGGCATATTGTGTTATTGTTCTAATACAAATGAGAAAAAATCGCCAATTTTTACTGTCCAAACATTTTTTAAATCAACCCCTGCGTAATAGAGCAGGCAGGTTACTTGCCTCTAATGCATTTCAAGCTACAGTACAGAAAGAACTACAATAACTTAAGATTTATAAATCTCTTATTTGATTCTAGACTCAAAAGAATTATTATTATTATTTTCTTCATAAATTATTCTATTATATTTTTATAAATAATTTACTTCGTAACTGGTAACACTACTTGAATTAAGACCTTGTTTTAATTTCTATTATAGTTTATTTTTTTTTTTTTAGATATCCGTCCAGAGTACATGCTGGTTACTGTTATTTTAATTTATCATTGACATAGAGTAATTATATTTATGTTTATTCGTAATCCGGAGGCTATAACATCTACCTATAACGATGATTAAACCATACTTGGGAAATAGCCAAGTAAACTCTGATTAAACGAATTTGTGCTTGTCTAATTAGTTAGGAATAATTATTTATAGGAACTTAAGGGTAAAGGTTTTCATTAGATAAAATTTTACGCCGGCAATAATACAGAAACGAAACGAAACAAACCCATCGATTTAAATTCAGATATTCCCAACAATATACTACTACGACAATATACTTCCAGAAAACCTAAGTAATTCTTATACAAAAAGTATTTTTAAATTTAGACAAAGCCTATGTGAACAACACTACTTTTTGAAGTAAATTTAGTCCAGGCACATTGTAATTTGGCAAATATCACGTTCAGCAATAGGCTCACCCACCTAAGCCGGATATGCACAACATAATATGTTGTTCTTAAGAATTACTTTCAAAAATGGTATGCGTTGCTTCTAAATAGTACGAACGTCCGGTAGTATATTGAGTCATTCAATATCCTAACTCAACCACGAGAGAAAATTTCAGGTGTTTCCGCAGGACAAAGGGTGAATCACGGGTAGAGAGAGGATCAAGACAAATTATGTACAATCATGCATGTTATAAGCAATAGTCGTCATGCCTTCAATTATACAAACTGTACCTGCAAAACAAAAT